TTCAAATCTCTGCCCAAATTTCCAATGAGCTGCAGCTGTACTGCAGCCCTTAAGAAAGGGATGAAGATGATGAGTGCCTTTTGGATAGATCCTCAAATAATTCTTCTATGAGAAAGGTGCCACTGATCTGAGCTGGATTTAAACCAGCTGAGCTGTTGAGAAACCAGATGTGATTTACTAAGAGGTCAGGAGTGGAGCAGGGAGAGATAAATGGCCAATTTCTGATGTCAGAGATGTACATCCCATCACCAGAAGGGGGGTCCCATCTCAGCCGTGCTATGCTGGTGGAGGACGCAGGGTGGTATATCTGCCCACTGGGCCAAAGGGAAACACGAAAGATCAGCTGCAATTGTTACAACCCAAACTACACAATGGAATAAGCTGATCATGTAGCTTGTCTCTTATGTCATAGTTGGCACATGAACCAAATTCATGCATTTCTAGGGCTTATGGGCCGGAAATGTAGTTATTATAAATCCTCTTATCTGTCCCACAGAGCCTATAAGAAAACATTCTCTTTTTATCTTTGAAGTGTTGAAATACATATGAAGCATTCCTTGCCCTGTGCACCCATACATATCACTCTTGCCTATCACCATGCTTTCATTCAAGACATTATTTCATTCCCTTAGCATGTCATTAACAAAGCCATTCCATCCTTATTAACTCCTAGCAGGGAGTAATGCCTACACTGTTTGTCCTACTCCATTCTCTGATCAGTTTGAACAGGACACTTGTCCCTGGATTTCCACACTGGGGAAATGTTCTTCATTTTCCTCAGGAAAATGAAACATTCCTTCAGTTGAAGTCTGATTAAACATGGCCAGAAGATCCTGGCTCTATTTAGTGCTAAGCTGCATTTTTCAGATGCCTTGACATTACATCAGCTTCTGATAAAAAATATCACATCTTGTGCCCTCCTTTTTACTTTTTCCCCATGCAGAGCAGTTTGCATGTCTGGTGGCACAATTCAGCAGTAGTCCCTGTACTTAGTTCCTTGAACTCATTGCGGGTGGGCTGGACTAGATGGCCCTTAAAGGTTCCTTCCTACTCAAAGGATTCTGTGATTCTATCATTTTACAAGAAATGCCTGTCTTCCAAAATTCTTTTTTAATATTCTACAGTGAAAATTCTTGGAATATAGTGCCTTTATTTCAGGCACCATTGTGTCATGACCTGCATCTTCCAGCATAGCTAGACTGTCTCCCAGAGACTCTTCTCAGCCTGAAACTTTCACAAGCACTTCTTGCAAGTGAAATCGTTTTGGAGGCAGAGTATAATTTACTGAGAATAGAGCATTAATATCATAATCTAATAATTTATAAACTCAAATCCAAACAAATCTCCAAAAGGCATCTTGGCAACATTTCCAGACCTACCACTTCAGAGTGTCATAAATACTGTTGTGTTGTGGGTTTTTTTTTAATCAAACACTGAAATTTTCCATTAAGGATCTTTCTGTGGGTTAAGTTCAAATTGCAACAAGTGAATGGTGCTGTTACTGAGGTGGCAAAGCAGCTATCAGACAGCTGCTCTGGGGATGAAAGATGAGCAGGGGAGTATACGTTAGGTGCAAGATCTTTGCTTGCAGCTTCCTGCTTGCCTTTGCACCATCAGCTTTACCCTATTAATGTCTCTACAGACAAGAAATGTTACAGCAGGTGAAATCCAGTGCTGATGCACTGATGCAGCTGTAAAGCCAGGGAGATACACGACAAAAGTTTTCCCCAGAGCAGACCAGGCTGAGCCTTCACCCAGTGTATCCCAGTTGCATCACCTACTCTTCCACAGTCATTTCTTTTCCATTTCCTCCTCTTTACCCCCATGATTTCCTCTCTGATGTCTTTCCCCTTCTTACACAGCCTTGCTAAACTGGCTTAATTCTCATTCAAAGCCATACTTCCCCACTGTGAGATTATAAACAAACCTCCAAGCGGATGTGAATGTTCATCCCTTGCCCCCCATGCAGCTCCTTTGTGTAATTTCTGTCAAAACAATGCTGAATAACAGCAAACTGTTCTCCAGCTTGTCACTTGAGAGGTTGTTGTTGTCAACAGGTTCTCCATAACCACCTCATCCATCCTCCTACTCCACTTGGTGGCTTGGGTGTGTGACAGATTTGCAATCCACACTGCATTTTTAATAAGCCTCTTTGGACGTCAAAGGAATCATTCTGAAAGTGAAGCTCAGCCCCTCTGACCTCTCTGAGCTTCCCTCTTATATTTAATCTGGAAATACTACTCTGAAAGCTGAATGTGATCTCCTGCTTGCTTTATGCTCCAGCAGCTCCTGCTTCGTGTCATTCCTGGGGCAGAGTCCTCAAGGCTGGATCATTCACATTCATTTCCACAACCAGCTCATCGCCAAATATCCCATAAGATTGAGGCCTATCTAGTGATGTATCTGTGGTTTACAGCCTGCAGGAAGGCTGCAGTTATTTGCCTGTGGGTGGAAAACCTAGATCTGGAGAGGTGAAGTGGTTTGGCCTGATGTTGTGCAGGAAATGTGTGGGGAGGAGGGGGTGAACCTGACCAGCAAGCTGAGCACTGGGCCATCCACACCTTCAGTACCGTGTTCAGTTTTGAGCCCCTCACTATGAGAAAGGCACCGAGATCCTGGAGAATGTCAAGAGAAGGGCAGTGAAACTGTGAGGGGTCTGGAGCACAGACCTGATGGGGAGTGACTGAGGGAACTGGAATTGTTCGGTCTGGAGAATAGGAGGCTCAGAGACCTTATTGCTCTCTATAGCTGTTCAGTAGGAGGTTGTAGCAAGGTAAGAGTCAGCCTGCTCTCCCAGGTAACAGATAGGAGAAGAAGGAATGGCCTCAAGTGCCAGGGTAGGTTTAGGTTGGATATTAGGAACAATTTCTTCTCAGAAAGAGAAGATAATTCTATGATTCTATGATCCTAGAGGTCTTTTCCAATCTTAATGATTCTTTGTCTGCTATGAGGAACAATAAAGCAAAAAGTTCACATCTTATTTTAAATACAAGTGATTTGCAGCAAAGCAGAGTTGCAGGCTCTGTGGCCAAAGCTGCTCTGAGTTCCCCAGAATGTAATTCATCTTCAGGTTAGCGCCACAAAACCTGCTGCCATTGCTTGCTCGTGTCACTTGAATGTGCTCGTCTTTTTCCCCTTTAAAATCATATGGGCACTTCTGGCAGGGCATTAATCAAACAGATTTGAAAGGGCTGAGAGAAGGATCTTGACTTCTGCTAGTTTTCAATTACATTTCACTAAGGTCATTGCAGACGAGCCTTCGCTGTATCTGGCTGCAGTCCTAGAGAGCTATGAAGCTCCATCCATGTGTCATCTGCTCATTGCCCAGCGCTGATTTGTATCCTGGTAGAGAGCAGAGCCCCCCTTCTGTCACTCAGGTCATCTGACAGCTTTGTGTCTGGCCCATGACAGTCTTTGCTGTTCATCCTGAGCTGTGTCCAGACTCACCTGTCTGAAGTGACTCTTTCAGATGGGACAGGTCACCACCTGGAGGAGCCTCACTGAAGCCTACAGGGCAAGCTCAGTGTAAGCTTAAGACAGAAGAGAAAGTATCCCTCTTGGGCCAGCTGGCCTCAGACAAGGAAGAAGGATGCTGGGGGAAGAGGGCTGCATCTCCACAGGCCTACGGTTATCCTCCATTCCCAGTCATTTTCCAAGCAGTATAAGAAACCTATTTCTACCACATTGAATGTGGCCATATGTGTAATGGCAGACAGAGCAGAGGCCATCAGGTTACCGCATCGTTAACAGTGGCGCAGTTATGGGAAATACTGGATTCCTTCTCTTAACTAAACTTGAGATGACAAGGCAGATGTTGATCTGTGACCAGATCTTGTCTTCTGAATGTTGAGGACATTCACTTCGCAAGGGACAAAATCAGAAGAAAAAACAATTGTGCCTTTTTCTTTTTTCTGCATTTGGCATCAATGGGATTTTCAGATGACTGGAGTTAGTATTTTAATAAGGAAGAGTTGAATAATTCTAGCAAAATTTTGATTCCATTCTGAAACGGATAGAGTAGCTCTATGTCTTCAGCTGGAACACGAGACGAGCAATGTGGGGTTTTTCTGTCAAAATTATGTCTTGGATTTTCATCTCCAGCCAACTACCACTCAGATTCTGGGTGGGCTTTATGAGGCTTCACACAATTTCTGAGCTTCAGACCCTCCATACACATTAGTGGCATCATGGGGAAGTGAAGTCTGGCACGGAGCTGTTGGGGAGTTTGCTTTCATGCTAGGCATGAATTACAAAACTATTAGATGAAAGATGCTTTTGATGTAGTTCATGTTTTTATTTGTTATTAAAATGTTCAACATTCACATGCAAAATCTTTTGTCTCTTTTTGACAAACATTTTAATCACGTGTGCTTTCTCTGTTTTCTTTGCTTTTTCTTTGGAAATGCAACATAAAAGGAAGAAGAGGAGGAGGAGGAGTCACAGAAGGAGCTGGATTTGCCAGTCTTGGAGAATGAGCCTTCATCAGGTACACATGGTGTATGGAGCTTGCTTCTTGTTGGTGGGGCCAATTTAAACCTGTCTTTTTATAAGTTGACCTGATCCAGGATGATAATGTGATGACATTCAGATAGCAGCAAACAAAACACAAATACATCTGAGATAACAGCTTTGGGATTTGTTATATGTCCATTACAGCCTGCTTGTGATCCTGTGATTTTTTCAACACAGTGTGCCTGTGCCTGTATGATGACAGGACAGACATTTGCAGCTAATGCAATTTAAAAAGTCTTTGACCTCATCCCTTGCAAAAGATAATGAACTATGGTGTGCTCAGTATTTGTTCTCTCCTGCAGTCCATATACCACAGAGGCATGTTCTTATAGGGAGAATGAAGAGGAATTTGTCCATTTTCACCTTTAAAAATGTCACTCTTTTCCCTAACAAGAAATGTTGGGCTGTGAAATCTGTCTGTGAATTTTGGGACGTGAGTCACAGTCAGGCTGCAGGTTGCTCATTCCTGTTTGGCAGAGCTGGCTGTGAAAATCATTGACAGCTCCCAAAGCATCTGTTAAAAAGGTATCAGTGATGTCTGTTCCCTGCCATTCTGAGCTTGTTTTGGTGGAAACTGCTCCTTATCCTACTCATGGCTGTGCAGACTTGTTTCTGGCAGTCTTGCAGACCTCCTGCTCTCAGAGATTCACTGTGAGGACCCGTCAAAAAGTATTCCCTAAGAAGAGAAGACCTCAGCCCTGATAAGAGATCCTCCATCATAAACATCAGCATCACTCACTGAGTCTCGCTGCTGCATCTGCTTTGTAAACTCAGAAAGCAGAAGACTGATTAATTTGGCCCTGTGAATAATATAGGCCAGAGAGCATTTAAATCTGGGGCAATTTGTTAAAACAGTTTGGGTTCTGTTAGTTATACTGGATGGAACAGCTTGTTGGGTGGAATGAATTTCAATTAAAAGCCCTCCCCTGGGACATGGATCCATCTGCCCACAGCAAGAGGGGTGAGATCCTACAAAAACGTGATCCTGGATAAATGCACATGAGAACATCCACGTTTCTTCCACAGACACATAGAATCATGGACAACCTTTACAAGTGCTGAGCACACACTGATGGCAGAGGAGCTCTGCCTGTGGGGTTGGACCCAGGGGTAGTGCAGCACAGCAGGATGGAGCTGCAAAGGTTGGCATTGTGCTGATGGAAAACGAGTGGAAGAAAAAAGGTATTTCTGTCTTCCTTGCTCATGTCAGAGCTGAATCTGCCCTGCTTGGACAAGAAGGGCTTTGTGTGCCACGTCTGTGCCATGTCCTGGAGGCAGCATTGTAAGGCAGCAGCAGTGAAATAAAATGTTTCACCGATGTATTTTTCACCCTTCGTCAGTTAGAATCAGCTGTGAGGTAGCTTTTATTTTTTGTGGCAGACAAATGAAAGCAAAGCTCCTGGCTCTTGCATTTGCAATCCAACAGAAACACTAATGAGCAGAGATGCTCTGAGTAGATGGAGATCAATACTGAGCTGGAGATTTGCCTCGATTTATCTCGATTTATCTCGATTCTACTGAAGAGAGAATGTAAGCAATATTTAGTTGATTTTCTGGGAAAAAGAGCAGCAAATATTTTCCATCTCAAATCTGAAAAGATCAGAAAACATATGCAATTTTTTTAATGTTGCAGACAGGAATGCATGTCAATTTTGTAAAATGAAATCTGTATTTTCCTGGCTAAAAACAGGACGACGCCAAATGAAATGAATGTCTGTGAAGAAACTAGTCTTAAAACAAAATACACAACAGAAGGGTTATTTGTCATAAACATCTACGCTAAACCCAGTTAATGAGCAGCAAGATACAAAGATGAATTTGTAGGAAAGCCTGATGCCTCAGGAACTCTCTCATGTTTGGTCTAGATGATTTTGTTGGTCTTTCCAACTTTAGAATCATGGAACAGTAGAATCACCAAGGCTGGAAAAGGTCTCTGAGATCATCCAGTCCAACCATTGACCTACTGCCAATACTGCCAACTAAGCCATCTTCCTTAGTACCACACCTATACGTTTCTTGAACACCTCCAGTGGTGGTGACTCAACCACCTCTCATGTTATGTCCATCTGTAACGTGCTGAGAGCTTCACAGCACAGGAGTGGTGCACTTAGGGCTTCACATGTACAGTTCAGGCAAATACACGGTCTGACGTGAGAATATGCTTTAAAAATAAGAGTATGAGTTTCGCTAAGTTTTGCTTGCAAAGATGCCTTCTTTGCCTTAATACCTTTGACAGTAAAAAGTATAATAATAAAACAACACATGAAAGCAATCACTGACGTCATCCAGTACAACCACCAGCCATTCCCCACCATGCTCTCTAACCACGTCCCTCAGTGCCTCGTCTGCTGTTTCTTGCACACCTCCAGGGACGATGACTCCACCCCCCTCCCTGGGCAGCCTGTACCAATGCCTCACCACTCTTTCTGAGAAGAAATTTTTCCTAACACCCAACTTGAACCTCGCTTGGTGTAACTTCAATCCATTACCTTTTGCCCTCTGATCACTTGCAGTGTTGGGGCTGGCTGTCCCACTGCCCTCCAGTTGGCAGATCTCTGCTTAAAGATGAGTGGCACAGAGATCCATACTAACAGCTCTAAGATAAGGCTGTGTTGTGCAAACAGCAAGTTTCTCTTCTCTGTATCGTTTTGCTACTGCACCCTCTTTACCAAGCCCATCGTTGGGCATTTCTCTTGGCACCAGCCATCAATACCACAGTGCTGGGGAAGGATAAACTCCACAGAGCAGCCTCAAACCACCCATCCCACCTCCGCAGAGCCTGAAAGCAAAGCTGCAGTAGGAAACCAGTGGAAATGAAGGGAAAACAGTGTTCTGGCTTCTTGCTAAAGAAAATCCACAGGATGGTTGCTCTCTTCTTTCTGCCACAGTGTGGTTATGTGCTGTACCACAAGTGAGCTGGCTGCCACCCAAGCAAAGCAGAAATCATGTTTTGGTGCCAGACTCGGAATGTTTGCAGGTAGCTCAGTGTGCATATAGCTGGAGTGGTTTAAAATGTGATGGACATCAACGGGATATATCACTCCTCTGCATCTGGTTTGGAGAACAAGGATGCTTAAATTAACTTTATCATTACATTTAATGATTGACAAGACAGAAATACCAGCATTGGGTGGTGAACTGCCCAATAAGGCCTGGGCACCAGGCCGTGTCTGCTGCTGGTGGCAAGAAAGCACATGACTGCACCATGCATATTATTAAGCATTTCAGAATGATTTCTTTTACTGTCTTCCTTAAATGCAGGATCAGGCCATGTGTATTCTTAACCATGTTAACCTTTGAGGTCCCTTCCAACCCAAGCCATTCTATGATTCGGTGACTCCATGTTTATACGCACTGCTCTTCTGCTGGCAGCTGCAGTTCAGTATGTCTGTCTGTCCTTAGCTCACAGCTTTGCAGAATTTCTCCATTAAACCCCAACTTCCTTATTCAGCTACTGAGGAATGAAACATTTTGCTATCTCAGACTTCTCTTCCTGAGGTAGCAACTTACACAGGAAAAGCTCAAACTGGCCAAGATGTTTATTTCCTCAGCAGCGAAAAAGCTGCTTTAGCATCAGGTTAACAAATGACAAATGAAGCAGTGTCTAAAAAGGATATTGCTGAAAGAACTCAGTAGTGCCAAACAGAGTTAGACCAGAGATGGATTTGGGTCTCCAATGTTTTACTGCTTCCATCAAACAGTGAGGCTCTGGCACAGGTTGCCCAAAGAGGTGGTGGAGGTCCCATCCCTGGAAACATTCAGGGTCAGGTTGGACAGGGCTCTGAGAGCCTTGATCTAACTGTAGATGTCCCTATTCATTGCAGGGGAGTTGGACTAAATGATCTCTAAGATTTCCTTCTGACTCAAACAGTTCTATAATTCTATGTGGTGTGTGAAAGTGGATGTTTTGAGCAGTGCAGCACCCACACCTTAGGACAGTCTCTCTGCAATGCCACATAACAAATTGGAAGCTGAAAATCAAGGGAAGTGCTGGAAATAAAGGGGCAGAAAGGGCACAGATTGTGGAGATGTCTTATTAAAAGGAACTGCCTCAACATAGTTTATTCCCCAGTAACAAATGGCTCAAAATATCATCAGTATCACAAATACACTTCTAAACTCTGCTCCATTTGTGTGTATTGAGATAAGAAGCACCTAGAAAGACCTTCTTTTCTACAATGTATGCAAATATATACTGTCCATCTTGAAACAAGTCACCATGGCACATGGATTTGATCCAAAATACAGATGCCATATAACATGTCAGTGCTCAGAAAGCAGATTCTTTCACATTATTTGCACGTGAGCTGTGCCCTGTCCTGGCCGTCCTAAAACTGTGAGTGTTTCTAATTGGCCATCTATTGGAAAGTGAATCTATAGAGGAATGGGTTCCCTGGTGCTTCTGGACCATTTCACAACTCCAAAGCTTTTGAGGAGCCAGGAACACCTCCTTTGTGGGATTTCTTCTCTTTTCCTCCATGGGTGGCAGGGAGAAGGCGTAGGATGTGAAGCCATCAGCCAGCACAAGAGTGAACTACACTGGACATTGTTGTGTGAGCACTTTTCCTTTGATGTGGCAGATAAGCAAGTAAATACTGGGGGATTTATTTGTATTTCCTAAAATGGGCAAATGGAGCTGGAAATCTTGAGGGGTTTGTGATATTTGCTATTTCCAATCAGGCTAAATATACTTAAGGATAACCTTTATCTCGGTATCTTAACACTATTGTTTCTAATCCCATGTTTCCTTTATTTAAAAAAAAAAAGCAAAGAGATTCCTGGAAATGTAAGGCTCATTTAAAAACTGCTGGTCCATCATTTTACCATCTCTGGAAAGAGAATGTGGTCATTAAGGGGTCTGGCAGTTCAGCCCAGTTATTATTTTATTCCATAGAAATCCCGAGCTCTTTCATTGTGCTCAGTGAGGCTTTCCTCACCTCCTGCTCTCATATACAAAGTGTAAATCACTTCTCTTGAAATTCCTTTTGGACCACCCTAGACATCAAAAAAGTCTTGCTGGAGAATCTGGCACTCAGTTAAAACACATGAAACCAAGTCAGCAAAACTTCTAATCGTTCAAAACCTTTCCTTTAATCATAACAGTAATTTTCCTTGGCAAATTCCAGAGGAGCAATCTTGTTGACATGGCCTTTAGGTGGTACTGAACCTTTGGCAGACCTCCTGGGTAGAACTCAAGGAACCTTCCTCCAGTCTTTTGTGCTCCACAGATTCATGCTCTCCAGGAGCAGGTCTGTCACCATTCTTAGTAGAAGAAAGTTTGTGTGCAAGGTTCAGGTGGACTTTCCTTCTGTGAATCTGCTTGTGCATGAAGGAGAGACATTTATGCTACTTTTGATCTGTAGGATGGGACCTAAGGCATAATCTTTGTGACTGCTTGAGGATGCACACAGTAATGGCCACATCCCAGCAAATGCACCATTACAATTCCCCATGGAATTTGCTCTACCAAGATCCATTATCAGCATTTTACCTATTCCTCTAACAAAATCTTTTCTTTTAACTTAAGACCATGAAGTACAATATATTGAGATATTGACTTACAAACTATGTTCACACATCTTAAATTATTTGGTCTTGAGTGCCTATTTTTTTTACCAGGAGATACAAGGCTTGAAAAACTTTAGGGAAGAAGGGCTGGAAAAAGACCCAATTTAAAGATTTTTAAGTTATCAGTACTTCTGGAAGAGAAATAGAAACCTCATGGCTGAAGATATGTGCTTATCAGCTTCTGAAGTCACTTATTTGGCCTTGGAGATTGGATACTGAGCTAACAGGACTTTAGATTAGATCAGGTTCAGTGATTCTCATGTTCCTTTTTTTCCATTTGCATACCACAGGCTCTACAAGTAATCTTCTCTAAACTTCTCCTGATGAAGTCAGGTTTGTGTGTTGTCCACCGGATCTGTCTCTGCCTCTCTAGTCTTAAAATTTCAGTCACTTAACCTAGAGTGTATGAAGCAGAACAGATGTGAATATGATCTAAAGGGGATGTGTGAAGCTTGATGTATATAGCATTGGGTAAAAACACTAGTACAGATAAAAGGGCAGATATGGCACTGAGGGCCATGGTTAGTGGGCATGGTGGGATGAGCTGATGGTTGGACTGGATGACCTTAGTGGTCTTTTCCAATCTTTATGATTTTATGATTTAAGGATCCAGATCTGCTCCTGCTGAGAGGAGTTTTCCCTCGGCTCTGTAGCTTTGCCATGTCTTTGTGTTGAACAAACTTCCAAAGGTGATGCTGCTGCCACCACCATGGCAAAGCCTCAACCCATGGGGATTCCAGGGTGCTGCTGGAAAGCAAAAGACAATGAGGAGACAATAAGTCCAAGAATTTGGTAGCTGCTCTTGCCCAAGAGGAGAAAAAGGAGAAAAGATCATCATGACCTTCCAAACTTCAATTATTGCTTTTCCCAGTTTAGTGGCACTGTGCTTACTTCTCGGCGCTGGTGTTACTTGTGAAAGAGCATCCACAAGCAAAGCTCCAGCCACTATCTACAGGAGGGAAAGAGGCTGGGTTTCCTGCAGGGAAGGAATGGGACAGGTGGTGAAAACTTCATGGAAAGGCTGGAGATTTATTTTTCCAGCTCTGGCATAGTGGAACACTCCCAAACACCTCACACCTACCGCACCTACTGCTTGTCATGCAAGCAAGAATAAAACCCTGAGTCTCTGTGGGTCTGTTCAGAGTAGAAAATGTCTTCTCGGTGCCAAAAAGATCAGCAGAGTATTTTCTGCACCCACTCTCCATAAAGTGTGGTGTCACAGAGCACCGCTCCTTCTGGGGCCATGGGGGATGGCAAAATCCCTGAGAGGTTACAGAAGGGTCTGAGTGGGCAGGAGCTCTGTGTACAGGTCTGCTGCCCTCACAAATATTCGTTTTTTTCCCCTCACCCTTCTGTCCTATTTTAGTGAGGGGAGAGGGAGAGAACAGGAGTGATGCTGTGGCGTGCCTGCATGCCACCAAACAGCACTGCTGGACGAGTAGGTAAAGAAGTAGGTGAACTTGAGTATTCATGCAGTGGAAAATGTGGGTTTTTTTAACTATCTGCTGGAGAGAGACTCTTCCTGCTCACATTTGGAACTGTGTGAAGCTTGCCAATCACAGGCCTGCCTGGAGAAGTGTAAAGGATATACTCTCTAAAATATGGTCGGGTTTCTGGATCAAATTGGCTAAATATGCTTTGGAGGCAAAGTCTAGCATGGGTATTCTCCGCGTTAGACTTTGGAGATGTGTTTAAAAGAGCTTCTGTGCTTCAGCATAACGTCCTTCCTGCTGGGGCCCCTCTGATCTGGATGCACAGGCTGGTGGGAAGCAACAAGTGGGAGGACCATCTGGCTCTGAAACACACACTAGGACACATCTATGCAGCCTGACACGAGGGAGCAATAGGAGTGAGCTCCCAAAGGCAGTCTTTGGCCATTGTATACACACAGAGCCCACGTACAGCAACCACAAAGCAGGTCTATGCATACTTCCCTCAAGTATGGAATAGGAAGGCAGAAGACAAGGAGAGGTCATATCATCCTGGGTACTGTTGGGGTGCCAAAGCTCAAGACACAAATAAGAATAGGATATAGAATCATAGAATCTTTACAGTTGAAAGGGACCTCTGAAAGCCATCTAGTCCTGCAGTGAACAAGGACACCACAGCTAGATCAGGTTGCCCAGGGCCTGATCCAACCTCACCTCAAAAGTCTCCAGGTACACAACCATATCTCTGGGCAACCTGTTCCAGTGCCTCACCATCCTCACTGTAAAAGACTTTTTCTTTTTATCCAACCTAAATCTGCCCTCTTTGAGCTTGAAGCCATTTCCCCTTGTTCTGTCACCACAGACCCTGTTACCCTGTCCCCTTCTTTCCTGTAGTTCCCCTTTAGATACTGAAAGTCCACTCTCAGGTCACCTCACAGACTTCTCTTCTCCAGGCTGAACATCAATGGCTCTTCCCTTGTCCACTGATGCACTTACATCATCATAGAAGGGCACTAGTTTGGTCAGACAGGATTTGCTCTTGGTGAAGCCATGCTGGTTCTCCCGTATCACTTCCCAGTCTTTCATGTGCCTTAGCATAGCTCCCAGGAGGATCTGTTCCATGATCTTTTTCAGCACAGAGGTGAGACTGGCAGGCCAGTATCCTTTTTAACCTTCTTAAAAATGAGTGTGATGTTGCCTTTTTTCCAGTCACCAGGGACTTCACCTGATCGCCACAACTTTTCAGATATCATTGAGAATAATGCTCAGTGCTGCTGTGCTCCAGCATAGGAAAACCAATCTTTGTGCCATGAGCCTGAGGCTGAGGAGAGACAAGTCATCTTCTCTGTGTGTTCCTTCAGATTCAGCATGAAGGGATTGGTTTTGGCCCAGCTGCCTGCATGGGGAGCAGGAGAAAGAAAATAGGACATTTTTTCTGGTTCAGATGTGAGAATTACTCTTGGCTTGTCAAATAGATTGTGACTGTGCATTGATTTCTTTAGGAATATTCTTACATATGGCAGTAATGTCCTGGATGAGTAGAAGGGAAGGTAGATATGGCACTGAGGGACACAGTTTAGTGAGTATGGTGGTGACAGGTTGATCGTTGAACTAGGTGATCAACCTTTATGTTACTATGATTCTATAAGGGAAGAGCCATGGTTGGCAGCATTGTCTGAGGATTAAAAGAGTCTGGGGACCTGGAATTAGGGTTTAATCTACTCAGGACTCTATATGGACCAGGTGGACCTGATGGGACCACGTGAAAGGTTCTGCGCTTTCGTGTCCAAGAGATATCAAAGCTTGATGTTTGCAAAGCAGAAGGCCACATACAGAGAGCAGACGGGTGGTGAAGCTCAGCCTACCTGAACCTGAGTTCTGAGCAGCCTGATCTAGCTGTACATGTCCATGTTTGTGGAAGGGAGTTGTGACTAGACGACCTTTAGAGATCCTTTCCAACTCAGACGATTCCATGATTCTACGATTCAAGGAAGCTGGAGGTGTACAGTCAGGCCCAGTGATAATTTGTCTGGTGCATTCTTGCATTTCCACTTGGCTTCCTCTCCCACACAAACCAGCCCCCCACACTCTCATCTGTCTGATTTCTCAGCTGTAATCCTCACCCCATCCATATCCCTGCTGAATGCGGTCTAGACGCTCTAATTGTATGTAATCCCAGAGCTGTACTGAACACCACACTGAGCCCTGCAGTTCTGTGCACGCTGGGGATTCATTAACACTCGTCTTTGCTGCACATTCAGAGCACGTTTTGTTAAGGATTAAAAGGTGAAGGTGAGGATAAAGGTGAAAGCACACTACATCAGTGTTTGATAAGCAACACCGCATTGCACTGGTTTTTACTTAGGAAGCTCATGTTGAAGAGAGGCATGATGCTATCTAAAGTACATTGCCATGCTTTTGTTGTGCTACAGCTCTTGAATTTGCAGACACAATGCAGTCAGGAAGACTTTAAAGGTCTCTCTGTATGCACTGCCAGCTTTTTGGGCTGCCATTGGCTGCTTTGTGGACAACACTCAATGTCCTCTATTTATTTTCTGCTATATGAAGCAGAAGTCTTCTAAAATTACGCATTCTTTCTTCTTTTGTTTCCTACCACTTCATGATGAGGGCAGCCAGCCTTCAGGAGGCCCTCATCAGTCTTACTGGGACATCCAAGCTGAAGAGATGACCTCTGCAGTAACATCTCATCTTTCCTCAAATCAGGGCAGTGAGGCACTGGCAGTGCTGCCCAGAGAAGCCGTGGGTACCCCATCCCTGGAGGTACTTAAGGTCTGGTTGGATGGGGCCCTGGGCAGCCTGAGCTGGTGGGGGAAACCGACCACAGGAGGGGTTGGAACTGGATGGACTTTAAGGTCTCTTCCAACCCAAGCCATTCTGTGATTCTATGATTAGCATTCAACAAGCTGCTACATGAGATCCTTGTATGGGGCAGGCAGTGGAAAACTCACTGGTTGTTTTGCCCAACACAAGCTATTTTTAATCAGTCTCAAGCGCTCGGCAGTGAGCGAGTTTCAAGTTTTGGAAAGTGTGAAAACGAGCTGAAGGAAATCAGGCAGACAACTTACCTGGCTTTGGAATAAGAGACAGGGGCCAGATGGCCAGAGGTTACTGGGGAAAGAGGTTTTGAATGACAGGTGTTTATCCTTCCTTGCTCATAAGCTTTCTTTGTGAGGAGGGAATGAGTGAGGAAGAGCTACATGTTTTTATGTCCTTTGAAGCCTAAGAAAGAGAGAAACAGCCTTGTTACAGCAAATAAATGTGCAAGACTTGACAGTCACACACAGTGAGGAAGTACTGACAAAGAAAATGGATCAAGGGGAGAGTTTATTGGCTGCTGAGATTGGAGAGAACCTCAGAGGATGGTGCTGACTGGTAGCACTGGAAGTGGTGGCTCTCCTAAGCAAGTGAAGGTTGACTTCTTGCAGCCTCATGGACTAGAGGGGAGAGGGCTGCGAGAAGCCAGCGATGTGACAAGGAAGGTGTTTCAGTCATTCCACCCAGGTCAGTAGCAGGAGTGACTCAAAATATGTCTCCTCCTGCAGAGAGGACATCCTGGAGAGATTCATGAAGCAAACAAAGGAGAACAATTAGGGAAATCTTCACAGCAGTTGTCCATATTAGAGCATGAAGATACAGCCAAGGCATGCCCTGGGAGGAGATGAGTTCTCATGCTGGCATGCTTGGTAATCGAAATATTCCTGCTCAGGCCAAGATTCATTATTTCCTTCCCTTCACTGACTGCTTTGTTCCTTTTTGCCCCCCTTTTTTTCTTAACTATAACCAAATCAAACCCTCTCCCCATTCAGGCTCCTGCCCTGACTCCACATACTGGGTGGGTTCAATGGCAGTCTGTGTTTTCAAAGCTACAGGAGATGAAGTGTGAAGGACTTCCAGGCACGCTCACAGGCTGGCTCCCCCAAGGGTTAGCAGCTGCTGTGTGGAGCAATGCTCTTCCTGCTCTACAGCCGCAAGCACAGGAAACAGATGTGGAAATCCCCCTAACCCAATACTCAAAAGCAACCAAAAGCAGGTTCAGGCTCTTTTTCTATGTGATGGCAACGACTGATTTGTTATGAGAACGGAAAAGGGCTGCTGATTCTGATAGTGGTGTTATCATGTTGCCACGCAAGCAAGCAACAGAGGAGGAAAGCAGACTTCGCTTTGTTCTCTTGCTGTTTTTCTGACTTAACCATCAGCCAGGTGAAAACTTCACAGGTCACCAAGATGGGTCTGTGGAGTGCAGTCAATAGAAGCACTGTTCTCTTGTGTCTCAGACAGCAGGGGATGGATATGTTGGCTGGAACTCACCTCCTGGCAAGTTGGAGTGACAGGCAGAAGACTGCAAGTTGGGTTCAGTCGGCTGAACTAGAATTTATCTCTAACAACAATGAGCATGCGTTGCAGCCAACTTGCACTGTCAGCTTCCTCCCAAGGAGGGAACAAATGCACTGCTCATGGATGCAGCCTAAAATTTGTACACAAGTCCTGAAATCACTGACATTTCCCCCGAAAGTGAAGTTTGGCAAACTTCTTGCGAATGTGTTCTTGAAGAATTTCCTGATGCTCAGTGAAGACTATCTTATGTTATTACAATCGATGCACATGTTGCTATTTTCATCCTAAAATGTAACATCTAGCTGGGAAGAGTCATGATGGAAATTCCTTGAATTATTAGTTCTTCTCTTATATTTAGTCTTGATTTGTGCTGGAACAGGAATAGAAATCTGATAAGGGTTTGGGAGAGGGATTTGCATTCATCAGAATATTTTACAGAGCATAAAATCATGAGGGACTATAAATACTTTATTTTATAATTTATTTGACATATCAGGAGGAAGGCAAAGATTACAGCTGCTCCTAAAGGGCGAGCCAGGATCTGAGCTCTGCTACAGAGAAACCAAGTGGGAGCCAAGCCTGAAGGTCCCACTGTAGTAAAAGGAAGGAGCTGCAACTCCATTTTCCCAATGGCACATTCAGTCAGAGATATCCATGAAGTGTAACATCTTCAAGCAATGCCTATGAGATATAAGAGCATTTTGTATCCAAGGAAGTGTCTAAGGGACTAGGACCCAAACCCCACTGCTTTGCTTTTGATATCACCAGGATCCATTTGGCCAATTGGATGAAAGCCTTAATGTGTAGAACAGCATTTTTTTTGTGAGTCATTTGAGCCTGGAGAAAAGAAGGCTGCAGGGTGACCTCATGGCAACCTTCCAGTACCTAAAGGGAGCCTATAAACAGGAAGGGAGTCAACTCTTTGAAAGGGTAGATAACTGCAGGACAAGGGGAAATTATTTTAACTTGAAGGAGGGAAGATTTAGGTTGGATGTCAGGGGGAAATTCTTTACAGAGAGAGTGGTGAGGTGCTGGAACAGGCTGCCCAGAGAGGTTGTGGATGCCAGCCCATGGAGGTGTTCAAGGCCAGGTTGGATGGGGCCCTGGGCAGCCTGGTCTGGTATTAAATGTGGAGGCTGGTGGCCTTGTCTGTGGCAGGGGGGTTGGAGATTCGTGATCCTTGAGGTCCCTTCCAAGCCAAGCCATTCTATGTTTCTATTATTTCATTAAATGTGCGTGTGATCCTGAAGCACCTGTGTAGCTCATGCTCTTGGTGATTTCCTAGAGTGTTAGTCAGTGTAACCTTGCCCAAACACCTGCAAACTCAGAGTGTTCTCAGTGCAGCCACTGTTGCAGCCACCTTCTCCTTCTCTTTGCCTTCACTTTGGACAGAAAAAGTTTTACAAACTGAGATGTAGGCAGTAGAGCCAATGGGGCTGGAAGTGCTGCCTGGCTCAGCCTATCAATCTGATAAATAATTGCAAAACAAAGTGAATTCTGCTGTAGCTATCGAAACCACTGGAAATGTTATCTCTCTTGTTGCAGGAAGTTGGATGGGCCCCTTAATCTTCCTCACGCAGGGAGGAGTAGGGCTGGGGAAATGCAGCTTTCGTTAAGGAAGAAAAAATGATGTAGATAATATGTAGTATTTTTGTCAGCTCCTTAATTGTAGTTGCCAAGGAAATGTATCCTCTTGGGCCAGGGTAGTGTAATGACAAAATGCAAACAGCTTGATTCATGTTTATGGAGGGACGGAGCCAAATCTATCTCTGGTGCAGCTCAGCCAAAATGCAGAGCTGGATTTGGCTCGTTACTGAGCGAGCAGTGCTGTATGAGCATGTTCTCCCAGGCTATTTTTTCGAACAGCACCTCATTTATTAAAAGGTAAAGTTTAGGAAATGTAATTTTCATGATTTATTACTACTTGCCTGCCAGTTGTTCGATCAAGGACTCTGCCAGTCTGTTCTTTGCATTTTTATATGCTAGAACAAATGCTCCAGCGTCAGGATTTAGAATCTGCCTCATAAAGTTTTAAATCAGCAGCACTAATCCTTTCCTCTTTTATTATCACTTATTTCTGCATATTTTTTGCAGGACATTTCTAAAGTAATCAACAAGTTATTAAGCTCCCATTTGCCATATTGCGTTGTCTGTCTAAAGATAAGTAAATAATACTATTACAAATTTGCAGTATAAGTTACCACTGCGGAACACCATTATGTTTTTCAAGCAAGAGGCTAAAAAACTCACAATGCTCTGTTGTGTATTAAGTGTTTGCTCAGACCCAGCTCATTCATGTCCTCATCCCGCAGAACAAAGATCAACAGGAGCTGTGCCCTGCATGTAGGATCACGTACACCCACTGTGAAATAAGGTCCAGGCCTCTGGGTTTGCAGGATCCTCTTTGACCTCAGTACAGTCGCAGGCATGGTTCAGCCCTTGTTTTTTAATTCCTGTCTGCACTCTCTTCCTCTTCTTTTCTTACACCAAGGGAGAAAGTAGCAGCGCCTGGCTTGCAGAGATGGAGAGTTTGAGGATGTTCAGCTCTTAGGCTTTCACACGAGGGGAAGGTCAAGAAGCGTCCAGACCTCTATCAACCTCTCCTTGAGTGCTAGGGATACATACAGCTCTTCATCCCCTAGCAGTTTTTTTCTGTAGTTTGTTCCAGCAAAGCAAAGCTTATGTCACTCTGCCTGCTCTTACAGCAGAAAATGTAAGCTATTCCAAAACCAAAATGCGTGCCCTTCAAAAAAGGGATCTGGAGCACAAGCCTTAAGTGAAGCAGCTGAGGGAACAGGGATTGTTCAGTCTGGAGAAGAGGCTCAGGGGAGATCTTATTGTTCTTTACAACTGCCTGAAAGGAGGTTGTGATGAGGTGGGAATCAGCTTCTGCTTCCTGATCATAAAAGGAGAGGGAATGGCCGTAAGTTGCGCCAAGGAGGGTTTAAGTTGGATATTAGGCAATATTTCTTTTCCGAAAGAGTGGTGAGACATTGGCACAGGCTGCCCACCTGTGTCAGCATCCCTGGAGGTCTTCAAGAAATGTGCAGATGTGGCACTGAGGGATGTGATTAGTGGGCATGTCATTAGTGGGGATGGGCTGATGACTGAACTGGATGATCTTCACGATCTTTTCCAAACTTTATGATTCTTTGATGTAAATCTCACTAAAAAATAAAGGTGTTTCAAGGTTTGCAACACAAAACTGAAAATGATCTGCTTGTCCAAGGAAATTTTTTGGCCCTCCAAGTTTACAGTAAACCCCCAAAGATATCTATAGAAGAATATTCAGTGAACACTGAACAGACTGGATTCTTGCAACTCATATTGAGTGTGAAATGGAAACTGTCAGGGTGGCAAAACCTTTCTCTAAAATCTGAAAGATGAAGCAAGCTGAGGAAGAAATGAGGGAGAAGTAGGAATAGATAATTCTTAATTAAGAGCTTTTAGCTGTGAAATGAGCTTGCAGTGCAGTTAGGGGAGAGCCTCCTGCTATCTTTAGGAGCCAGGAAGCAGGAAAGATTAATCTTAATTTCCAGAAGTCCTTGCTACCCCGGCAGAAAATAATAGAAACTCAACATTCTTCACTCCAGTTGTCACCAGAAGAGACCACAATTCTTGCAAAACTTCAATCTCGAAGGAAAACTAAAAAAAAAAAAACCCAACCCATAAAACCAATCAATATATATCAAAATAAGATAGACTCTGAGAAGTTCAGTGAGAAGTTTTACATCTGTGCTGCGTTTCACGCAGAAGATGCCTGCGTCATGCACAACTCACAACAGATGGGTGCACTTCACCACCAGTGCACTGCAGGGCATCTTGGATTGCAGCACAGTTTTTGTTTTATCACAGATAATGGGAGCTGAGTGTCACTGTGATCTTTCCTACAGATGAAGGGCATTTATGAGCAAGGTGGGGGTTTGCTACCAGCCTGTCCTTTGTAGACATGTTGGCAGGTTATTGCCTGTGCAACTCAGTGTGTTTGTGTAAGCTGCTGTTCACTGTTATCTGATACCTGAGAACACTGGAAAAGCAGAATTCAAAGCCGTGTTAAGGTTTAAGTAATTTGGATGTTCTGGGGAGATCTTGTATTAGTGGCTTTATTTTCAGTTTTAAGAAGCTGTTATTTGGTAGACATACAATATCACATTCTTAAAAAAAAAAAAGAAAGATTAGATTAGACTGGCCACGGGCAAATTTAACAACGTTCTTCTATTTCCTGTCAGACACACAGACTGTTTGCTTAGGAATTTGTGCCTCTCGGTCCACATTTAACTCCATTTGTTGCCTGCTTTCTATTTATAATGTACAGAGCAATACTGTTTGCCAGTAACAGTTTAAACAATGCCAGCAATATACTGCAGTGTGTGCAGTAAAGGAAAGGGGAGAAGGCATTCTTAAATAAGTTAGCCGACCAAATTTCTGTCTCATTTGGATACTCAGGGAACCACAGGAATGAATCAGAAGTATTCAAGGTTGGCAGTGGAGCCTGACAGTACTGTGTTAACAAGGAGATGGGGAATAAAGATTCAGTACATCATATGTGGTGGAGGAGTCCCTTAAGAAGGAACCTTGTTTTCCTCAGTTTCTGGTGTTTCTGCGGTCTGTGACTTTTGTCAGTTCTGCCCACACACAAGAACCAAACTGGGCTCAAACCAACACAAACTCCAGAGCATCATTTCTTTTTTTCTCCTTCCAACCCACTGACATCTCTACTGAACCTCTGTGCATGTGCCTTCTCCAGATCTTTTCAGAGCCACTCACTTTTTCTCTCTCAGGGTTGTTTCCTTCTCCTTTGGCAGCATGTCTCTCCACCTTTTCACAGAATCATAGAGTTGCAGGAGTTGGAAGGTCTGGGGGATCCCAGTTGGAGTTGGATGATCTGGGGATCATCAAGTCCAATCCCCCTCTGAGCAGGTTCCTTACAATACATTGCATGTTCCTCTCATTGAGCACACAAACCTTTGCTGAGTGTTTCAGTGGGTTACAAATAAAAGCAAAGTTCCTGGACACCGAGCTTCCAATG